GCGTCCTCGCCTTTCGCCCTCCAATATTTATTTAATTTTGTTGGGTAGTTGGCCCTCATTGTCTCGTTAATATCTCAACCGTATCACATGGGCAGGGCAGTTTCGGAAACATCACATGCTTTGACAGCAGAACAAAGACAGCAACATGTACCATATACGCCAAATTCACTCGCTTCTGGATTGGAAAGGTAATCCCATATTCCTAACCGCAAGTATTTTACCTACTGTTTTAGCAGCTCCAGCCTCCAGCTCGGTTTCGAGTTGGATACAGTATCACAATCACGCAAGTAGAACCCAGAACCTACAACCTAAAACCTGTGCTCTAAATGTTGATATTATGATTGTTAACTATTTAAGTAATTTAGTGATAACTTTTTTTATTAAAATTAAAATTAAATTTTATTTTTATATAATTTAATAAAAAAAATACATTAATTATTTATTTAGCATGTATCCTTAAAATACTCTATTGAAAAAACTCAATATTTTATCAAATGTGAAAGCTAGTTTGTATTTTAATTAGTGTATCTTTTGGCACGCCCGTTGTGGTTGTGCAGCACATGTTCTTACTTCAGTATGTTCCGAGCTACTTCGGATTAATTCTTTTTATATTTTACGTAACTCACTTGTCTTTGATCCTAATCTGTTTAGTAATTTAATTACCTAAATGACTGTCAGTTTTAGGTTTCATGACCCCCCTCAACAATTGCACCTTAACAAATAGATTATAATTAACTTAATAGTAAAATTTTTTTCTTGTAAAAATAGGACATTATAAATTACGCGACATATGAGTATAATAATAAATTAAATAATTATAAGAAACATGTCGCTAACACAATATGCTGAAATTTCATAAAATAGGACAAAAATTAGACTTTGGACCAAACGAAGCTTTTAGATTGAATAGTTCTTAATAACTAGCATGAAGCACAAAAGAAATTGCCAAGAAGTATAGAGGAAATTTACAAGGGTGTGTTTTGAATGCAAAAATCAGCCACCAAAAAGTGGCAGTGGCAGACATGCATATTACATCGCTGTAGTCTTTGTAAGTAATAACACTCATGAAATGTTGAAGTCAAACAACCAATCAAAGAAGCAAAACAAAAAGAACCAAACAAAATAAGAGAAAATAATAATAATAAAAAGGTTAAATTCCTAATTTGATCCTTGAACTATTATATGGACCCTTGATTTGGTCCCTGAACTAAAAAAATCCCTAATTTGATCCATGAACTATTGTATGGATCCCCAATTTGGTCCTTACTATTTACTAATTTGCCTCAAATTGGTCTTTCTATACAAAAACAGCTGACTTATTTCGTTATTAACATGACACGTGACCGTTAAGTTATTGTTTTTTGTCACTAAGTTATTGTTTTTTACCGTTAAATATTAGACACGTTTTTTTTTTTTTTTTGTACGGGAGAACTAATTAAGAGCAAATTGGTAAACAGTAAGGATCAAATCGAGGATCCGTACAATAGTTTAATGACCAAATTAAGAATTTTTTTAGTTTATGGACCAAATCTGAGATCCATACAATAATTCAAGGATCAAATGAGAGATTTAACCTAATAAAAATAAAGCTTTTTTTTTTTTTTTGATAAAAATTAAAAATATAGCAAAACGTGAAATGTTATTAATTATATGGGTAGTCAACAGTCTTGTGTTCAAACTCGAAAAAAACTGGCTGTATAATATCTATGCAACTTCCCCATCGACTTCCACATGGCACCTTTCCTCTCTCCTCCACCGTCCAACGTCTATATAAATCGACCTCCTCCTTTGTGATGTTATAATCCAAACACTTTCTTTCCTAAGAGTAAATTGAATTAGCGAACCCCATTCCACCCCCACCCCCCCACCCCCACATTTTGGTGATCGATCTCTTTCTAATTATGGACAAGCTTCCCAAATGTCAAGCAAATTATGTACCCCTTACCCCTATAACCTTCTTGAAAAGGGCAGCCACAGCCTTCGCTGACCGCCCTTCTCTTATCTATGAGGGCACTCAATTCACCTGGCATGAGACTTACCTCCGCTGCTGCCGCCTTGCTTCAGCCCTCCGTTCCCTGAACCTCCTCAAAAATGATGTTGTAAGTTTCTTCCTTTTTTCTTTTCTTTTTTTTTTTTTAAAGATTCATCAAATCAAGTTCGGACATTTCAAACAGTAAGTTATAGGCAACTTATACGAACTCTTTATCTAATATTTGCAGGTGTCGGTGCTGGCTCCTAATATACCAGCCATGTATGAGATGCACTTTGCAGTGCCCATGGCTGGTGCTGTACTCAACACAATTAACACCCGCCTCGATGCAAAAACTGTATCCACCATTCTCCGGCACTGCGAGGCCAAGGTCTTATTTGTGGACTACGAGTATGTCCCGCTAGCACGTGCTGCCCTCAAGCTACTCATGGGTGGCTCACCGGAATCCCCCATTCCGCTGGTGATTGTCATTGATGACATAGACAGACCCACAGGAGTCCGGCTAGGAGAATTGGAGTATGAACAGTTAATCCACACGAACAATCCTGAATTTGTTCCCGGTCATGTTGAAGATGAATGGGATCCAATTGCGTTAAACTACACGTCTGGAACTACGTCGGAACCCAAAGGCGTAGTTTACAGCCACAGAGGTGCTTACCTTAGCACTCTGAGCCTGATTCTTGGCTGGGAAATGGGCTCTGAGCCTGTTTACCTCTGGTCCTTGCCCATGTTCCACTGCAATGGGTGGACGTTCACTTGGGGAACCGCTGCACGTGGCGGCACCAGCATCTGTCTGCGCAACACAACTGCTTACGATATGTACCGCAACATAGCCCTCCACAAGGTCACTCACATGTGCTGCGCTCCAATCGTTTTTAACATCCTCCTTGAGGCCAAACCCCACGAGCGGTGTCCCATTTCCTCCCCTGTCCAGGTACTCACCGGAGGTGCACCACCACCGGCATCCCTGTTGCAGAAAATCGAACCACTCGGGTTCAAAGTTACCCATGCTTATGGACTCACCGAAGCCACTGGTCCAGCTCTGGTATGCGAGTGGCAGGTATGATGGCAAATGTTTTTCTTAACCGACAATCACAAAAACTTGAATTTTATTTTATTTTAATTTTTACCATTGTTGGTAAAATCTAAATTCTAATGTTTTTTACCATTTGTTAAAATCTCTGTTTTTTTTTCTATTTAAGAAATAAATAAATGTTTGCACTCAATAAAATTTCCAAAATTCTTCTAACAGACCAAGTGGAACAAGCTTCCCGTAAATGATCAAGTAAAACTCAAGGCACGACAAGGGATAAGCATACTTACCTTAGCGGATGTGGACGTTAAAGACATTGACACCATGAGGAGCGTCTCACACGACGGCATTACCATGGGGGAGATCGTCCTGAGGGGCAGCAGTATCATGAAAGGCTACCTCAAGGATCAGGAGGCTACATCAAAGGCATTTAAAAACGGGTGGTTCCTCACGGGTGATGTTGGGGTGATACATCCTGATGGGTACTTGGAAATCAAGGACAGATCTAAGGACGTGATCATCTCCGGCGGCGAAAACATCAGCAGCGTCGAAGTAGAGTCCATGCTGTACCGGTATCCACGGGTGTTGGAGGCGGCAGTGGTGGCAATGCCGCACCCACGGTGGGGAGAAAGCCCCTGTGCTTTTATCGCGGTAAAAACCAACGCAGAGGGCAAAAAAGATGACGTTAAAGAAGCAGATATCATTTCTCACTGCCGTAAAAATCTTCCCCGCTTCATGGTACCAAAGAAGGTCGTGTTTTTACCAGAACTGCCAAAAACCTCAACCGGAAAAATTCAAAAATTTCAGTTAAGGGCTCAGGCCAAGACTTTCGTAGTCTCCGAGAATGTTCCTCAGAAGAAGTCTTCTATACTCCACATGGAACTTCCGCAGCCTCATGAGCAGATTCTTGCATTGTCTCGTCTTTGAAGTCTGAAGTTTAAAGTTTGAAATTTGAAGTTGGTGTACTTCGTCTTGGTCTTGCAATAAATTTTGTACATATCTTCTTATTTTCCTTTTTTTTTCTTTTTTATATATTTACGACTTTTTTAGTTTTTAAAAAATAAATAAAAATTAAAAATTAAACACTAAAATTAAAAATATAAATAATATATCCTACCATCAAAATAATATAACCGATACTCAACCTTTCTGTCATTGTGAAAAATATGAGTACAATCTTATTTTTAACCATTTATCTT